CTTCGCCACCGCGGGCAATAAAATGCACCGCGGCCGCGGTGGCTTCAATTGTGGTCCACACAAAAAGGAACGCGGACCGCATTGGCAATAATCTCCAAAACTCCAAACTCTCTGAACCCCATCTTTGCGGACCGCACAATTTCGATTGAGGTCGCATTGAGGCTATTGCGGTCCACACAAAATGCTTTGTGGCCGCAATGCTTGATTTTCCAAAATATGCACCTCTCTGAATCTCCTTACTGCAGACCGCACTAAATGAAATGTAGCCGCAGTGGATCTGTTGCACTGTGCTTGGACTTATTCCTTGTACTTGTGCATGTTTCACTCCTTTTTGAGCAGGTTTTGACTAATTGTCACCTTTTTGACCAAACCCTGCAACAAGTACAACATGTAAGCCTTTGGGACTATTTTGTATACATTGTTAATCAAAACTCAAGTAAGAAGGAGAGTAAATGAACCATAATCCCTAGTTATCACCAGATATCGAAGATTACTTGCTACCCCTACGGGGGCAGAAAAACTTGTGTATCCTCCTGGATCGAGATGATAAGAGGCTGTTTCCGGTCTGGATCAACGCTGGGAGCCGGGAACTAATTGGTCAATATACAACTCGAGGAAGCCTCATTCGAGCTTTTCTTTGGTACGACCAAACCGTCCAAACCAGTGACATCTTCCATATCGGCAAAATAGCCTCGAAAAAAATCTTTCTCACCTTGGGCCCCCTCTCCGTGACAAGTCTCTGTAGCACGGACATCACAAATCATCGAATCCGGTACTAGAGGGAATGAGGAGGAATCCTCGGCTACTATCGCCCAAGTGGATCTTTGGAGGCATCCCCTTCATTCTGGGGAACTTCGAGCTTGGTTTCTGCTCCAGTCTCAACTGGCTCCTCGATGGCCTCTCTATCTTGAGGTGAGGCATCCTCAACTTTTGTAGACTCAGTAGACCGAGGCGAAGCGGCTTCGACCCCCGTCTGTTCAGTAGTTCTTTGAACCTCGATGTCGGCCCGCACATGACGCACCAAACCGGAACCTTCTTCTTTATCCTCATCTTCGGTCTCATCCGTTAACTGGTGGACAGACTCCAGAGTCAATGGGTGACCTCCCCATTTGGTTTGCGGGGCCTTCTAGTTGGTTTTTTTTTCTCCGTGCTAGAGGAGCTCGGAGCCTCTTTTCTTTTCTTCTCCTTGCCCTGCTTCGGGGCAGACGTAGAAAGTAGCGCCATTTTTTCAGTAGAAGGGGGCCTCATCAACACATCCTTCCCAAGACATGCAAAATGAGAAAAATTAATAAATATAGAAATAAAGCATGAATGGAAACTTTGCAAAGAAAAAATCACCATGGTTTCGAGCCTCCCATTGGCCTCTCGACAACTCCACCCAGGCGCACTCAGAGTAGACTTTTTGAGACACCAACCCTTGACCCATCGCCTCAGGTCGGGGATCACTTCCAGCACAATAGCCTTGGCTGTAACATAAAAAAAATTAGATGAGGGGAAGAGAAGAAAGTAGGAACGACAATAATAGGTACTCAGAAGGCCAAGCAAATACTTACGTTCCATGTTCCACTTCTCGGGAAATGGCATATCTCCAGCAGGGATCAGGTCCGAGGTCCTTATTTGCACAAACCTGCCCATCCAACCTTGGTATCGAGTCTCGTCTAAACTTGAGATGGGGGTTAGGTAGCTCTAGAATAAAGCTTGATCATGCCTCCTCGATAGAGCCAAGGGACATAGAGGCGCATGAGATGATCGAGGGTAAAAGGATGTCCCTCGATCTTACTTACGAAGAATCGGAGAAAGAGAACGATCCTCCAAAATGATGGATGGATCTAACCTAGAGTGACATCGTACCTCTTGCAGAAGGCAACGATGATTGGGTCCAAGGGACTTATTGTGAAGGGGTAGGTGTAGACGGTCAAATACCCCTCCTTGTAAGTAGTGATGGATTCTTCAGGGCTAGGTACTACAACATCTTTGCCGACCCAATTGCACTCCTCTTTTACCTTTTCGAGGAGGCGCTCAGTAATTGTACACATCTATCTCGATATGGGCTCACACCGCCCCGGTGTCGAGGGTGTGTTTTCCACCTTAAAATCGGAGGTAGTCGCGCACTTCATCGGAACAAAGTCAGTAAGAGGATATTCCGCCGCGGCAGTGGCGCCGGCGGGTTTTGATGAAGAGACGTTTCTTTATGAGGGATAGTTTTGGAAGTCTTAGCCATTTTTCTAGAATGGGTAATAATCGGTAATGGGAGATTTGGCGTATTAAGAAGAGATTAGACAATTTGTAGAAGAAGAACTTGGGAAATGCAAAACAAATATTGGAGATTAGAGCAGAAGAGATTGAAGGTAAAAGTCGAAAAATGGAAAAGAGATCTATTTATGGGTTTCACGGCGACGGTCCAAGGCTGATAATGGCCGACCACCAACTGACACTCAATAATGGTTTTGGGAACTGTGCCGACACGACGCTTCAGTCACTTTCATCGCCTACGTCAGAAGAATGATGTCACGGTAATCGAAAACTCGTTTCGTTTCTCCTTGTTACATTCCAAGAAACAAGGGGACTATCTGTATATAGTTAAAATCGGGCTTGCTCGATTTTGCTATTTAATCGAGACAAGGGGATCACATCGAAGGTTAGACTCGTGATGGATCGGGCTACAGCACGAAGACGAGGTGTCGAGTCCAAGAATCGAAGTGTCAGTCAAGACCGAGGCCAGCAGTAATCGAGACTGAGTATGACCGACTCCGAGTGAAGTGCAATAACGGAAAGGCAAGATATCCGTAACCGGTCGAAGATCACCGTGGAAATCTCAGAACAAACCAAATCAAGGGCGGTTATTTGTATCAATCATGAGATTTACTTTAGTAATTAGTATTGTATCATAATTAGGATTCCTCTAGTATATAAAGAAGGGTCCTCATCATTTGTAAAGGATATACATTCATACAGATCAAGGCAATATAGTATTTCTTTTCTTCTGCTCATCAGCTTACTGCTCTTTTACCATTATTCTTCAACTATTGTTCTTTAATTGTTCTTACTTATTACCCTCGAGAGTTCACCAGCTCGAGGATACTGTCCAAACATCGGTTTGTTTTATATTCTTGTCAATTTCATCGCTTATCCCAAAATTAGTCAATTGGTATTAAGTGAAATCACGTATTCTTAAAACCACATTACAAGTTTAATTGTTACTCGATTTTTAGGGTAAACAATCATGTATTTAGAAAGGAAATTATTTGGTTTCCTTTTAATATGCAATATTTTGAGTTTGAAACGAGCATTATGTTTGTACGAGGAGCTACTATTGATGGAACGGAGACTAGCAATGTTAACCCAACTAAAGAATCTTTAACAAACTACTAATAATCATAATTTGTCTTATAAGTTGTTACTCAACAAATTTTGTTTACTCATCTCAGGTTTCTTGAAGCTGTTGAGTCATAGTTTAGAGGAAGAAAGAAGAAAAGTGCAAACATTGGATCGTCGAGAAGTAGGATCAATGTTAATCAATTTTAGGAACTTGCACTTATTACACACTTACGTAATTTCTACTTTATGATCCATCATATATTATTAAAATATGTATAAATATTTTTTCACAACTTGATGTACATATTTAAAATAATTTTAGCATACAATAATTTCATGACTTTGAAAAAATTAAAAGTCATATATCGATCAAGATAATTAAGTTTGGTTCTTGAGACTATAAACAGAACATTCAGTCCGGAACAGATTTATTAAGCATTTTGATATTTATGTCGTCAGCCAACTTAAAGAAAGTGGCTAAAACATTATCTATTCGAATACTTCCACTTACAAAAAAGCCTCTTTAATCCATTTCGTTTGCAGAATAGTTTAAAAAGGACGACGCAAAGCAAAAACTAAAAAGCAAATCCCCCCTACAGCAAAAGTCTTTAAGTGCTAATTTTATTGAACTTTTCTAAACAGATGTGGCGAACATGAAGGGCTCCATATAGTAATTCTGATATTCTATAACCAATACATTTTATTAAAAAGCATAAATGTATGAAGTTAGTGATGATTTCTTTTTAAAAGGTAGAATTTGTTCACTATGAAATGAAAATAGTTCTTCTTTTAGTTTTTTTTAAATCATATACGAATATAAAATTATAAGAATTGAATTAAAAGAAATACAAATATTTTATATTCTAAAAACTTAATTAAAGTTAGATGCATCACCCATTGTATAAGCAGCGGAGGCACACAAACTCAGTGGGTTTAGTATAATTAAAAAAAATAGTCTTGTGACTGATATTTTATGTTCCCTTGGGGGCTTGACTAATCTTGATCCGGGTCACAAAATCTTATTTCGTTGATAAAATCCTCCCTATCAAAGACAATATTATTCTCCCGACTCAAACTCGGGACCTATAATTAAGGAGAAAGAAGCAAGAAAAATAGTTATCACCTATCACAATCTTTCGTGATAAAAAATTGTAATTATTATCAAAGTAAATAGTAACTTGTAGTAAAATTACCACCAAATGATGTGGTGCAGTGAATGAGACTGCTCTTCCCTTTAACCAGAGGTCTCGGGTTCGAACCCTGGGTATGAAAACACTACAAAAAAACAGTAAAATTGCAGCATTTATTTTTACAAATTGCAACGGTCGGTAACTCCCACAATTTGTTGTTGCAGCGATTCACAAAACTGCTGCAAAAAGGCTAGCCGCAATCAATTTACTGGAGTTCTGCCGCAACCGCTGCCACGACTGCCGTAATTAATTAGTAGGAATTATTTTGCAGCAGTTCAACCCCCGTAAATTGATTATTAAATTATAAAATAAATTATATTTTTTTACAAGTTCCGGCAGTCAAAACCCACACAATTCATTGAACATATTAATTTCTTTTACTGTATTTTTTACAAATATTGAACTTTGAATATTGTCTACTAATAAACCTGTCCACACCATAATCTAACCAAAAAAAGACAACACTTATTAGAAATATCAACATATTTAGCATCACAAAAGTATTACTTTCATATATAAATGATGGGGCTACAAAAATACTCAAAGCAGATTTAGCAATGTTTCTAGCTGCATGCAGTAGCGTCAAACTAAATTTTAACATAAAACATTCACCCTAACTATTCTAACATTCGCTCCAATCACATAATTACATTGTCCTAATTAATTATCTAATTCAATTATAAAGAACTTCAATTGTTGTCACTTGGATTACTGCCATCAGATGATCTTCTTGCGCCCATGGGTGATAGGGATCCACTAGCTGCATCTCTAGGCTGCAAACAAAATAAAACAATAAGATCTTTTGAATGCTAATTATAACTTGAGTTATTTCTTGAGCAGTACAAATATAACTATAATCCCAGAAACAAGAAAGTGTCAACAAGAATAAAGTACAATCGATCCACTAAAGAAGAGCGGAGAAAGAAGATCTTTAGTTTTTTTATATGAGTATCTCCTGATGCAGATAATATCAGATGAAAAAAAATTACAAGTTTATTTACCGTTGTAGGAGGAGAAGTAAAGAACCCCGCAAATTGCTCTGGTATTGTCCTTTCTTTCATTATCATATATGCCTTGAAAGCATTCATCATTTGTTTGTTAGAATTCACTATTTCTTTGTAGTTCTCTTGGCTTTGGGTGTGAGCATTCAACAATTTATTGTAGTTCTCTTGGCTTTGGTTGTGAGCATTCAACAATTTATTGTAGTTCTCTTGGCAATGGTTCAAACATGAAGCATCACTACTTGAAGCATTCATACCACAAAAACGAGGTCTTGTATGTTTAAAAACTTTGCTGGGGACAGCTCCTAATCCTAAGCACCTTACCCTTCCAGAGTGCTCTTTTCCTAGCACTTTACCAACAGCATCATTCGGCAAAACTTCAGACTCATCCACCATGCTTTGGCTCAAAGCAAGCTCAATTTTTTCCTACATATTGTTTGTCACAACATTAATAAGTAACTAAATGCACACCAAGACAAGCAAAAAAGAGATCTCTGTTTCAAGTTCCTAAATATCATATCAAGTTCTTGCAGAACAATTTGCTGGCATATGAAGGTGCAATAACATAAATCGAATAGGGTTGGAGCATTTGATCGAACAACCAGTGCAGGTAGCAGTACAGGTAAATCAAGAAGCTGTCATGAATATTTACATCGAATAACATTAGATCTAACTCCGGACAGTTGCTGGCTTTTTGCCCTTATAACTAAGATAGAGCCAAATCTGGTGAAAGTTTCAAATACGGACACATGAATTTCTATAAACCATGAATATGGTACTTCCCAGTCCATACAGTACTAGTTAACGAGCAACATTTCTACTCATTTTCTCTCGCCGATTGGGACTTGTTAAAAGGAACTGGAAAAATGCTGATGCAACATAGAAAATAACCTTTCAAATGAATAACTTAAATAAGCTCACCTACTACTAGATGTTCAGAAATCAAGTGTCAGATTCCAGTATAACTCTTGAAAAAATGAAGGCCAGTTAAAGGAACATTGAGTTGCAGAATGGATCAATGGAATGATTCAACAAATTCTTACCAGTTAATAAGCGTTATCTACCTTTTATCTAACCTCCACGCATGCACATTTCATTTTCATGATAGAGACAACTGGTGCTACTACTTAACAAAGTAACCCAAATTCACTTATAAATTGGACTGGGGAGCTAAGATCAGGCATTATACAGAAAATGGGAACTCATGCAGTAGAAAGCTCACAGCAGCAAGAATGTGAACACTTAAGCTCACAGGCATTATACGTTTTGCCTCGTATTAAGCAATATGTTCTCTCTCGCTTTGAATATTACATGTAGTGGTCCTTAATAGCAAATGAGCAGATCCCAACTACCAATATCAGAAATCTGGTTAAAACATATTTGTTCAACTTAGCAACTTTCAGGCCATACTTGAGTTCTTAAGTAAAACCCTACATAAATAGACTTCTTAAGAAAATTGATAAAGCAACAGCAAGACAAGTAACTTTCTCAAAGAGAAGAAGAGGACTTTTCAAGAAAGCTGAAGAACTTTCTGTTCCTTGCGATGCTGATGTTGCTATATACATATATTAGATTTCATACCCATAAAGGAGAAATAACCTTCAACAATCACAAAAATAAAGAAGAAACTTACACATATCTCCTTTGCCGCCTCATTCACATATGTTCCATCTTGTTTCTTATGAGTATCAAGATAAAGTTGTATGCGTCCAGGCCTTCGTCCAGTCTCAGCAATATATAAATAAAAGGAACTGACATGATCAAGCATCTTTTTGCCCTTTTTCTTTTCAAGCTCAAAATCCAATAGCACATGGTGTAATTGTGTGTTGCCAGGATCATACAGTACTACACTGGGTGAAGATACTTGAGGAGTAGTTTTGTACTCACACATTTCACGTGCTCCATTCTTGCAACTGTTTCATATATATATCAACGGCAAGAGGGTGATAATAAATCAAACCTAACCTCTTTTTACAACACTAGTCCATGAGCAGGTAATTGACACTGCAAAAATTACTTATATTGCATGTTTCCAATTTTCATTAGTGGTACGATGTAATAATATCTTAAGAGGGAAGAAAAATAGGACATGTTTACTCTGATTTGGTAGTAAGAGAGTATGTGTACACGCCTTCTAGCTTCAAGTAAATCACACTGTAAGCAAAGGCATAGATAAGTCGGACCACAGAAATTTCCAAGACTATACCAACTTCTTCAGTAACTACTACTTTTCTTGTCTTATATTATATTCATTGTCTCATGTTATGGACCATTTAGAAAAATAAAAATATTACCTTTCTGTTTACTATGCATATCTATCTATTTAGCTTCAAATTTCTTGTTTTGAGCATTCAACAAAAAGCTGATTGATAGCATAATTGGAAACAGGAATAGATTTTTTTATCTTATCTTATATTTGTTAGATTAAAAAATAAAAAAAAACCAGCAGCATTTTGGGGACTTTTAGCAGAAGATTAAAAAATAAACCAGCAGCAATTTGGGAACTTTTAGCAGTGGTGGAGGAGGAGGAGGAGGAGGAGGAGAAAGTGTACCTATAGCATCTACAGTCCAATGTTGCATCGACTCACGTTGAATACACTTTCTGGATGGTGCAGGGTGTGATGCGACCTGAACTGATGAAGTCGGCTGTGATACGGCCTGAAAGGATGAAGTAGATTGTGATGCGGTCTGAAAGGACGAAGTCGGCTGTGATGCGGGCTGAAAGGACGAAGTCGGCTGTGATGCGACTTGAACCACCGGAGCCCATTGTGATGTGGCCTGAACTGACGAACCGAACTATGAAGGAACAGACGAAGGCGGCTTTGTTGTTGCATGAACTGACGGAGCTGGTTGTGCATTCCCCTGAATTGACTTTTGCAAGTTTTGCCAACGCTTGGTCTTCGGCATATTTGTAATTAACAAAATATAAGCAAATTTAATAAATGTTGAGATAAACTAATCGAAACTTCCATTCAGATTAAGTGATACAAACAAAAGTCTTAATATGATATAGATTCATGTCAAACCAACTTACAATAACAGAAATGCCTAATGATATATCAAGACTCACTTACTTGCATATATTAAAGATATTCATACAAGTTATAACAACAAACTATGTTATCTAAGATTGCACAATAGAAAAGAAACTACAAACATAGATGTTACGTAGATACTTTACTTATCAAAATAATGATATGTAAAACAAAGAGATGGAAAGTAGTTATCAATTATAGATGAACCTCTTAATGATTGTAATCAGTTAACTTAAAGTGAGGTGGCTTTGTTGGTATAATTTCAATGTCTTGGCTCTTTCACATTTCAGTATAGAGAGAACTGGGTTAGCTACTTTAGCCTTCTACCTTGGAGCAGCAAAACGAGTAAGCTACAAGTTCGAATCTAGATATATGCTTAAATCCAATCCATTTTCACCTTAGAGCAACCAAAACGAGTTCTATACAGTGCATAAAAGGGGACATTGGCTTATGGTAATGTGTTCTTAAAGTACTATTGAGGCAATAAAGCAGATTGCATGCTAGAAAATTCTAAGTTTATTGAGAAATCAAGCTAATAAATTGCATATAATCAACATAAAAACCCCAAATCAACCAAAAAACTCCAAATAAATAGAGAAACCTGAAATCCAACAGAGAATACCCAAAATAACACAAAAATAAAGTGAAAACCCATATGTAATTTACAAAATACAAAAATACCTGGTTACACAAAATCGGAATTGGAGAAGATGAAAGACAAATTGCAAATAAACTGAAGAAGAACACCGTGAAATTTCTAGCCAAAAATCCACACTAGGACTGAAGAACACCGGTAACAAACTCTGTTGAAAAACACAAACAGTGGCATTAGTAAAAAGACATTGTCGTATCTCCTTGAGAAGGCATTTGTCTGCAGAGGTCGATTCACAGTCCAATTTGGTGAGAGAGAGAGGCAGTCGCTTGGAGACTATAGAGAGAGAGTGAGAAAACAAGGTCTTGGTCTAAAGATTTTGGGCCTAAAAGGTATTGGCGGAGAAAAAAATGAGGGAAAACGAAAATATAGTAGGAAAAATTAGAAGCTTGGCGCTCTTTTGCTTTTAATGCAGCAGATCCCCAAATTATAGTTAACTAGTAAATTTATTTGCGCTTCGCGCGATCATAAAAAATATAAATAATAATTTGTCAATATTCGAATATTAAAAATATTTTAGTATTCATATCCGAAAAGATTAGATTTGTCCATTTTATTATGAATACTCGAATTTATATTGTTACTCTTAATTGAACTTCTTCCAAACATGTAGAAGATATCAAACCAAATATACAATGCAAGGAAAAGGCATATGAAAAAAAAAACAAATTTAAATAAGAGAATCACATTCCTTTTGTAGCTTTTATCAATAATAGTAATAACGTTTGTAGACTTGCAAATAATTACTGGGCTGGCCATATTAAAACTATCCAAGAAACGAACTTTATGCTGAAAAACATATTAAAGAATATGAAAAGTTAATACACATTATTCATGTAAATTACATAATAAAAACAAACAGTTAAGAAAATGACGGAAGTATATTTTCTCAAAAAATTCACCCGGAGAAGTTAAGACATACTCACCTACATTGGATAAAGACCAAGAATGGACATGTATGAACGGAGAAAAACTCCAGAAGACCAAAAAATAAGATTTGCATAGCTTATTATCTTCTAACTCAAAAATATGGATGAACCAACAAAAGTCCCAAGATTTTGACTTTTAAATCGAGATCAATAGTTCCTGTTCTAACGGTGTTGCCTTTACCGGCCCTAATTTGAGCTTTTTCCCAGCCTTTTTCCCTGTGGTTTCCTTGTTTGATACTTTAATCCAGTCATGGGAACATAAGTACGAATACAAAAGATAAGCACCAGAAAACAAAAAAGCAAAAAAAGTTAAATCTGATTAAATTTCATACACCCACAAAATAGCAAACACCATAATACACAAAAGGAGACACAAATCTCAACTAATTTGAAATACTCACAACTATACAAAAATGCATTTTTTTTCCTAGGAGATCACGTCATAAAATGCAAAAGCAAGAGTATATCTGATTAGATTTCATATATCCAATATTGGTTGTATTAATGCAAGTACATGTAGCAATTTCAGCGTGAAGAGAAATTAAAACAAAAATTTAATTAGGGTAGGATGTTCACCTTTTATGGCAGTAAAAGATCAAAGCTTTGGTTTCGTAATGTGTAGGGAACCAATTACTAATGTGAATAGTTTTTCACTCTAGAAGAAAAAACTTAATCTCAAACACCTCCATATTTATTATAAACCTGGAGGAAAATCTAATGTATGTAAAAGAAAATATAGTGACAAAACCCGTGATTAAAAAAACTGCAGTATAGCAAAAAAAAAACAAAATATAGATCCAAAATAAAAATATTAAAAGGGGAAAAAGTTAACAAATACCTTTTCCCTATGGAAGAAGGATTATCATAAATTGGTAGAAATCGAATTCTATAATAGCCTTCCTTCCAGTCCTGCAACTCTATACTCTACTATTTTTATCGCTGACACTGCATCCAAAACTCAGAATTCAAACTCAAAATGTTAGTTTTTTTTTTAATTTGCTTTGAGGGAAAAAAAAAATAAGAAGGGCATGTAGGAACTTACTGATTTGCAAAAGGACAATGGAATGAAGTTACAAACCCATATTTGGTGGTTCACCCTGTGATGATCATGAGATGTTGAATGAAGTTTAATTTGAGTAAGAGTCGCGTTTGACGACGAATCAGATTTAGGTATTTTTTTCCGGATTGTAATCGTGTGAACAGGTGCAATTATGTACATAATTAATGAGATGACGTTTGGAATTTTAAAATATGCATTATAATTAAAAAGAGAGAGAAAAAGCCAAAAAAATTGAGATAAAAGATAAATAGTAATTCTGGCCTAAGAGAATGCCACATAACCTCTCTTATGCCCTTCAATTATATATATATATATATATATAGATTGTGTCAGTTAGAGATAAAGTCCCACAATTTGATACAATTTGCGGCAGTTATCGGTGATCGCCGCTAATTAACTGTCGCAATTTGACTGTTTTTTTGTAGTGAAAAATCCTTGGTATGGAGCGCTTCCCCCCGAATGGGGCCCTATGCGGTGCGAATCCGGATATAGTCGGGCTCCAATGCGGATACCGAACACCGGATGGAAAACCAAAAAAACTTCTAGTAAAATTTCACATTTATTGACATAAAAAATTCTTATACTATCTCCAAGCTTAGATATGTATGAGACAATGATATTTCGTAAAGCAAAATAATGATATGATATCTACTGAGAGATCTACTTGGTGGTAGCTTTACACCACTAATGACATTGTTTATTCACCTCTTTGCTCAAATGATAACAGCCTACGCACAACCTTAGTGTATTTTTCCCAGTGTACCACTATGAATGATTAAATAGTGGAGGTGTTGAGATTGAATTAGAGAGGATCATAGTAATTTTTTCCTTACCCCCCCCCCCCCAAATCCCNNNNTCCCCCCCCCCCCCAAATCCCTACACTGATTGTCTTTATAAATATACATGTAACATCTCTACACTTCTCAAGCTAAGCAAAAAGCTGTTGTTACAATCCCTCTAAAGGTTCCCTTTCACTTTCTCATCCCCTGTCATATATCCCAAGAAAATTGAAAAATAATCAGAAAAAAAAAAAGAAATGCGAACTGTGAGTACCTTCAATGCTTCTTCACCAGTTTCACCGCCGGCGGTCATTCAAAGATCGCCGTGGCATTCTCCGGCACCATACCTCTTTGCCGGCGTAGCAGCCATGCTACTGTTGATAACTTTTGCTCTTGTAATCTTAGCTTGTTCTTACTGGAAAAACTCCTCCGGCTACCCAAGAGAAAATGGTACTGATGATGATCAGTCTCAAAGTGATATTGAAGCCGGCGCCGGCGAGAAATCTGCCGCCGATATGTTAAAGGTTTTGCCGGTTTTTGAAGAGAAAATTGTAGTGATAATGGCTGGAGATTTAAACCCAACTTTCTTGGCAACGCCTGTATCAAGCAGAGGTAATTCTTTTGGTAGTGGGGATAAATGTGAGCAGAATTTAGAAAAGGAGAGTGCAGAATTAGCTGATGAGAAGCTGAAAGAACAAACTATCACAACGGAAGTTAGGGATCAAGCCCATGACGAATCCCAAGACAGCCATAGACAAAGCCACTGAGCTCAAAACAGAGGCTTTTCCTCCTTCATCCCCCTCTTTTTTTTTTTTAAATGATTTTACATTTTGGTTTATTTTTCAATTTTGACATCCGGGAAATTGTATTTTTGGCTGAGATAAGAAAGAGTGAGAGACATTCTCAGTTTTCAGTAATCCGTATTTTTGGAATTTATTGGAATTGTTAGAGTTTTCCACATTTGATTGAGCAAATGACCTTGTCTTACTATATATCATATTGGACATCATTAAACTCATGAACAAATTTTTTAAATTGAGTTAGATCTATGATTCATTCTTTTTGAAGTAGACTCATCTCTATTTTTTATTTACTCGATATTACATCATTATATTATGTTGTTTACGTTTCACATATTTACTTCAAAATGAGCAAATATTAAGAGTTTCACACATTAGTTGAAGAATTAGGTCTTGGCAATTTATTTATCGCAAGCTAGTTTTGGGGTTGAGCTACCTAATGTTTATCTCCGGAAATAGAAGCAGATTGACAAAATTGAATAATACATCTTGCAAAAAAATAAAATGAATTTAAATTAATTTCTAGATGAATTCAGAGGATAATTTAATTACTCTAAGAAATAATAAAATTACCACTTCAAATGCATACTATACATGCTCACTCTTCTAATGTATTTTATTTCTAATATTCTTCAAGTGTTTAAATGTTTATCTGGATTATTTTCTCACTTTAATAATTAAGTACAACTCTTATAATTTTTGGACCAGCGGAGTGTTATAGGTTTTGAAAATATTTTTTGAAGAAAATTATTTTGTGCGAAAAAAATAATATGTGGTTGCACATTAAATTATTTTTAAAGCTTTTGTGAGTGGACGAATTAGTTTCTTAGGGCATCTCCAAGGCTAGCACCATTTTTTGCACCAAATTTCACACCAAAATGGTGTAACACCAAATTTACTCCACCATTATACCATTTTTTACACCAAATCTTCTCTCTCTTCTATATTATATTATTATTTTCTATTTACTTTTCATTTTTTATTTCCTTCAAACTAATACTATCTTTTTTCTTTTTTCCATATTCATTATATATAATTCACATTCACCACTTATATAATCATTTATTACAAAATTATTTTAAAGGATAAATTAACTAAAAGTGAAATCATTGATAAAAGATAATTAAATAAATATTACATCATAGTCAAATTTAATTTAAGTACCACATAAATATTTAACTTTCGCCTCTATTCTCCCATAAATGCTCGATTAATGCATTACGAAGTGTGAAATACGCATCTTTATCCTTAATTGTTTTGTGTCGAGCTAAAAATTGTTCAAATCGGTGATCTTCATCTACTACCATTTCTACCGTTGTAGCTGGACACTCACGTGCATCTTCAATTGGTGCATTAAGATCACGCTCGTCCTCAATTATCATGTTGTGCAGTATAATACATGTGGTCATTATATCATGTAGGACCTCTCTTCTCCAAAAACGTGGCGGACCTGCAACAATTGCAAAACGCGATTGCAAAACTCCGAATGCACGTTCAATATCTTTTCGACATGATTCTTGTTTCATTGCAAAATATCTCTTATTTGCTGAACGTGGCTCCCGAAAAGTTTACACAATAGTAGACCATTTTGGATATATACCGTCAGCTAAATAATAACCGATGTCATATTCTTTTCCTTGAATAACATAATGCGCTGGAGGAGCAATACCATTAGCGAGATTGGAGAATAAATGTGATGATTCTAAAACATTAATATCATTGTTGGTGCCGGGCATACCAAAATATGCATCCCATATTCAAAGGTCGTAATCAGCTACAACTTCAAGAATAATTGTTGGGGATCCACTACGACCTACATTGTTAATTTTCTTTTTTAAATTTTAGTTTTCACTTTTCAATTTTAGCAACATTAGATATCTTACATTTGCATTTTTTATTTTTAAATAATGGTTATATTTCTTTTTATACAATTATAATAATAATAAAATTAACATATAATTTTATATAAATATAATATATACAAAAATTAATATATCAAAAAATAGGATATAAAATTAAAATTATTAAGATCTTAATATAAAAATTAATTATATACACAATATATGATAAATTAAAAGTTCACAAAATAAAAAGATTGAATAAAATAATATTAAACCAAATTTAGAGTGATGAATAGTGTTGCACCAAATTTGGTGCAACACTATTCATACTCTATAATAGTGCAAGAATTAGTGTTGCATTGGAGCAAAAAAAACATTATTTCTTGCAACAAATTTGCATTTGGTGCAAGAAATAGAGTAGCCTTGGAGATGGTCTCAGTGAAAGAAACCCAGTAAAATATTTTCCAATGAAAAACACTCTCAGACCTCTTCTTAATTTAAAGTATTAATATATTGATTTATGTTTTGGGGAATATTTTTAAAAAGAACTTATGCTAATATGTTTCTGGTGAAGTTTTTCCAAAACTTAAATCTTTTCAGAAACAATTGCGCAACATTTTTAGATTAAAAAGAAAGATATCAATTTTATTATATTATCTAGATTACCTTTATTAATTTAGCAAATTGTAATATACTGCATTTTAATCATCCATCATAGAGAAGAATAAAGTGAAGAGAAGTGATTAGGAGTCTATATTCGATTTAATGTGGGTTTTAGTTTCGTTTGGCCCATAAGAAAAAGAAAGATGGTGGGAACCATAATGATTAATTGGAAAAAGAACAATAAAACTAAAATAGTTGGAGTGATGTTAGTAGTGGCGCAAACAATATCCTTTTTTCCTAGGTCATAAGCTGATGCTTGTTTTTATAAGAAAACTAGTGAAACTATTCGCGTTTTGCGCGGTAATAAAAAGTATCAGTAAATCATACTTTATTCCAGGTATATTGTTAAGATAATTTAAATAACTAAAAATATTATAACCCCCAAAAGAGTAAGATATATGTAAAATTACGATTTTTTATTGCTTAAGGAAGGACAATACAAGATGATGTGGCATCTCTATTTTCCCTACAAGCTCAATTACCTTTTTGTCAATTTTTTGGACTATATATATTGTTTGAATTGTACAATAATAAGTAAAATATACAAAAGTTTGTATCTCTAAAACCTCCCGTTGGTGATGCCGGAGGTGACATCTGTGGCCAATATTTTTTTTTATATTCATTGATGTGTCTCAAGGTTGCTTGTTCTTTCTCAAATATTTAGACCTCTTTTTTGAATTTTAATGTGTATTATCAAGCACAAAACTTTCATAATCTACGATGCACTTGCATGCAAGTAATACTATTGATGGCTAATGAAAGGTGCCAACACAATCTCTTTTTCGATCAGTATACATACATACATACATACATACATACATACATATATATATATATATCTATATATATATATAATCGTGATAACAAATGGGTAACCACAGCTAAACCATAGCTCAAAAAATATACATTGTGCAAAAAAACAGAAAGATGCCAATAGTATTAAGAGGAAGAATATCAATATACTCCCTCTGTTCCAGTTTATGTGAACCTATTTCCTTTTTGGTCCGTTCCAAAAGAATGAACCCTTTCTAAATTTGGTAACAATTTAGCTTAAAGTTACAACTCTACTCTTAATGAGAAGCTTTTATAACCACACAAATACTCTGGACCCCATTTGGACTTGTTTAGGACCACAAATTCCAAAAGTCTTCATTTTTTTCTTAAACTCCGTGCTCAGTCAAACAGGTTCACATAAATTGGAACAGATGGAGTACGAGATTAAGGTTTCTTTATACAAAGGACTTAGAGCGCATAAGCCAAGAGGAGAGCAAAAGCAATTCTCAGGAGAATTTGATTCTGAAAAAACTAACAATCGAGGAGATAAGGAAAGAAGTAATGTAAGAAACAAGACAATGGTATCACGAACCTTCACTTCATGAACAATAATATTGAGATTGAGGTAATTTCTCTTAAACATATATTACTGAATGAGAAAAATAAAAGGGATAAGTTTGAGATTTACGGTACTATCTTCTCCACCAAATACAATCCCATGGCCATCAAACGCGAACCTGACATATTAACACCTTGCTATAATAGGCATAAATTTTTTGTGACAAAATTAAAGAGAGAATAATTCTGATGGACACAAACTTCATATTTTCTCGGCAAAGAACTACTATATACATAGCACATACCATATCACATTGAATTGTTAGCCTTCAAATAAAAATTTCATAAACAATGAATGAATTTGAACTGAATAAAATATTCTTACCTTTGTCATGGCAAATGCGTGTAAGAAATATCATTACAAGAACTGAAAGGAGAAATATGGGGTGGTGCTTGACTGCTTTCTCACATTGTCATCTCGTCAGTGTTAAAGAAGCCAGCAAAAAAAAAATCTGAAGCTGATTATGATGATTTCGTCTTAACTAATGCAAAGCCACATGAAAAGAAGGATTAAAGATAACTGTAATCCCCTGCAAATTTGAAGAGGGGGAAAAAAAGAGAAAAGTACTGACATTCGTTTGTTGGTTTAAATTTTAGATTTACACTTTTGAAGACAATGTTTTAGACGGGATGGAGGTTATATTTCATAGCATAATTAATGAGAAGTTAATAGAGAAATAGTTACTCAAAATGAATAGAAAGAGTTTCAGATATAATTACTCAAAATTAATTGGAAGAGTTTCTTATGTCAAGACGATCTATTAAAAACAAAAAGGTATAGGAGTCAAAAAAGAAGCTAAAAGATAAATATCAATCCTCGATATGAAGAGAGGTGCCATGTCAGCATCTCTCTCCCCCTCCCTTTTATATGGATATATAGATATAGATAGATATATATTTCATTACATGGTTTAGACACCTTTTCTCACAAACTATGTTTAGAAAAACAGGTTATTGCCAATCTAAATGTATTTGACTGTTAGATACTCATGATAAATGAAGTTGGATCAAATCTCAACGAAGGGAGGTGAGTTTAAGTGATTATTTCATATCTAACTAAGTTTTGGCGAATGAATACTAATACACGTGCTGATATGAGATAATATGTACTTGATGAATTAGTTGAGGTGCATGAAAGTTGACCCCAAATATTATCATTATATCCTCAACAAATTGGTCTACAGGATGGACTAATGAAGTTGCATACAGATTTTTTTTTTTTTTTGGACAAATCAACTTGGTGTTAAGCTAAATCGTCGAATAATTGTAAGTATATAAGTATTATAAGAGGTCTTTTGGTACAAGGAATATAGATAATAATACTGGGATAGATTGTATTTATTTCATATTTGGTTTTTGGACTTTCCAAATTGAATAGTTCAAATGTAACTTAAAAATATAAAAATATTTTCATTTACTATAGAAGTTCAGTAAATAGTAAAAAGCAGTGGCCTTTTGTTTTGAGATCGAGAAAAAAGAATTGAGTGGTAATTCACTAACAGAGCTATTAGCTTATGTCTTACTTGTAGAATAAAGAAACAAAAGCAAAATATACGAATATTCCTTCTTCTTTTTTAGGCTCTTTGGCTTGCACAATAGAGGAGCAAAAACAATTTCCTTTGAGTTATTTCTTTTTGGTTTTGGAAAAAGAATAAAAGGTTACAGTATTTCTATCTTTTTTTTTTTTTTTTTT